AATTGATCGTAAAAATGAAGAATTTCGCTACCGATAAAGAGTCGACACGGTATTTGCGTTGGAACATGTTTGGAAAATTATGTCCTAGCTTCTAAAGCTTACGCTCAAAACAGCCTGATAGAAAACACCCAAAAAAAACAAGTTTTTGAGAGATTGCTCAAGAGATTCCGTGCTACTGGTAATGTTGCATACGAAAAGGTAAATAAAAATAAATCAGTTAGTAGTGACAATATCAACGAACTGAATGTCCTGCTATCTGTTACGGAAAACCCAAATATTACTACTAGAAAAATTTTGTGTGAATTAGAAATTAGCCAAACTAGTGTATGTAGAATACTTAAGACAAGCCACTATTATCGGTATCACATTCAACTACAGTGCATTTGACAGAACAGGATTGTGATAAACGATAAAATTTTTGTTTATGGACTTTAGATAAAGTTGGAGAAGATTCTGATTTTTTTTTTAATGTATGTTTTACAGAAGAATTAGTGTTGCCCAAATGCAAGAGCAAGACGAGACTTAGACAGTCTTGGTCTTGCGCCAATACACCTGGTCTTGGTCTTGGTATTGCACTCCCGGTCTTAGTCTTGCAGCAAGAGTCTTGCAGTTACCCATTAGCCTATTGCTATTTATTAAACGTTACTTTAGATCATAGAACAACGTAACAGAGCAAGTACATTTTAAGCTTGAATAACCATAGCTATAATAAAGACCAACCAAATTAATAAATGTCTAAACAACCTAAGTACGTTATCGGTCCGTATTTTTTTGACGTAAATTTTTACGTCACACTACGTACATTGACACTACGTCAATTTTTCCATTTTTAGACACTAGTAATCAACTTTATTTAACAATTTATTTAAAGGAATAGAGCACTAGGTCCTAAACTATTTGCTAATGAAGATAGTGAGTTTTAGAAGAACACCAAGTCCATTTTTATTCAGAGGGATAGAACACCATGTGGATCAGTGGCGCACCTAGGGGGGTTTTGGGGGTTAAAACTCCCCTTAGGACCCTATTCCGACACTGTTATTCCCAAATTTTGGACTTAAAATGGTGGAGGTACTTACTTACTTACTTACTCCGTGGCGTTACAACCCTTCGTGGGTTTTAGCCGACTCGACAACATGCCTCCACTGTTTTTTGTCTTGAGCAACCTCCATCCAATTCTCCACGCCCATAGTGCTTAGGTCTCCTGCTATATTATCTCGCCACCGGAGACGAGGGCGTCCGCGTGGTCTCCTTCCAGTTGGGACTTCCTGCCACACCAGTCATACTGTTCGTTCGTCAGAATGTCTTCTGAGGTGTCCTGCCCATTGGAGTCTTCTGGACTTTATTTCTTTTATGATGTTGGCGTCTGGGTAAAGTTCTTCAAGCTCTTTATTAGTTCTTATCCTATATTGTCCTGATGCTTCATCAAGCACCGGACCAAAGATCTTCCTTAGGATTTTTCTTCCCAAACACGTAGTCTCTCTTCATTTGCCTTTGTTATCGTCCACGTTTCGCTTCCATACATCACAACGGGTCGTATGATTGTTTTATAGACCTGTATCTTCGTACGTCGTGTTAGTTGTTTTGATTTTATAAGGTTTTGGAGGGCAAAAATACATCTGTTGCCGGCCTGAATCCTGTTGTTTATTTCTTGTGATCCGTTATTGTCTTCAGTTATTGTTGTTCCAAGATATTTGAATTCTCTAACGCGCTCAAAGTTAAAGTCATCGATGGTAATGTTCTGACCGATTCTGTCTCTGCTTTGGTTATTGCGGCTCATATACATATATTTCGTCTTGTTTTCGTTGATTTGGAGCCCCGTCTTCTCTGCTTCCTTCTCAAACCTTACGAAAGTCTCCTTCATCCTTAATCGCGTGTTTCCTATTAGATCTATATCATCTGCAAATGCCAGTAGTAAGTTTGGTCCTTCTCGATGAAATACTGTATTCGGTTTTTCGATTCTTGCACTTCTGATTATGTGCTCCAGAGCTAAGTTGAAGAGTTGTGGTGAAAGTGCATCTCCCTGTTTTAGTCCATTGTTTATTTCAAATGTCTCCGAGTATTGTTGTCCAACTCTCACCTTACATCGTAACCGTTCCATACACATCCGTATCAACCGGACTAGTTTTTTTGGAAAGCCAAGTTCCTGCATCGCTGTACACAGTCTGTCCCTACATACTCTATCAAATGCTTGTTTAAAATCTATGAACATCTGATGAAGCTCACGATCAAACTCCCAGCATTTTTCCATTATCTGTTTTATTGTGAATATCTGGTCAATTGTAGAGCGGCCCGGTCTAAATATGCATTGATAATCTCCAACGGTAGTTGGAGGTAGGTAATGGTGGAGGTAGCATAACAAAATTTCGGTGCCCAACCAAAACCTCCCTCCCCCCAGAGGAAAATTCTAGGTGCGCTACTGATGTGGACTTGATGTTTTATCCCTCTACTCATGTGAATTACCGCCGGACAAGGTGTTGCATATCTCTATGATGACAGGTAGACTCTTAGTGCTCTAATACTATTTTTGCCATTTATGGCATGTTTAGAATGGTTTGTTATTAATAATAAGAATAATGAACCATAATTCTCGTGGAAAGAAGATTCTTGAACTACTGAAAAGTTCTGGGAATTCTTCTACTGCATTTACAGGTAAGCTACATTGTTTGATCATTATTTTTAAATTATTAAAAACATAACCTCGAAAAGTTAATGTAGTGATTTGATACCAACCTTAGACTAGCAATATTATTAAATCTTTTACAACCAATATTATCAGCCTTGTTTTATTTTAGAATCAAATAATACACAAAGCAATAATATTTTAAATGAAAAGCATATTATTAGCGATGTATTGAGTTTTGATGAAGAAGATAAATCTTATATAGACAAACGTTATGATAAACCACTCGTGGTGGAAATGAAATTGGATCTGCATTACTGAAATGGGCAGATACCGTCATTCCAGGCAGTGAGATAGAAGAAATCATACTATGGTCGGACAATTGTTAGGGTCAGAATAAAATGATAGCATTATTATGTGTTTATTTTGGATATTCAATAAGTATACTCAAGTAAAAATCATCACTCAGAAGTTTCTATTAAAGAGTCACACCCAAATGCAGGAGTGTCTGGACATGCGCCGATACAGCGAAAAAGAAAAAACTTAACAACATGTCTATTTAACGCCTCGAGACTGACAGCTGTTAATCAGACAAACTTCAATGAAATATATCATGTAAATAACAATAGATAGAATGTTCTATTAAAATATTGTTTTAATATCTCAATAAATAGCTGCAGCAATAAAACACTTTTTGGTGAAAAAAAAATTAAAATTGCTGTAAAGTTATGAAAATCGACATAGTGTTGTTTCTTTACGAGGTCCAATATTTTTGGATCCTTCTTGAAAACCTTCCACTTAGCGTCAAAACAAAACTGTGGTTCCAATTGAACGGAGTTTCTGCTTATTTTTTGAGTAACAGAAAATTTAGAAATAAATGGAGAGGTAGAGAAGGTCCGTATAATGAGCCACCCAAGTCACCAGGATGGATTTCTTTAACCCTCCGTTCATCGGGTGACCATTCTGAAACACTTTCGGTCGGGTGTGGTCTGTGAGGACCAAAATGAAATACCGCCTCCCGAGCAACAGCATACATTTTATTGCTAATTTCGCATCAACGTGTTTTAAACAAATAATTTACTATATAATGTTTATTACAAAAACAGTTTCAAAAAATTTTTAAGTTGTATTATGTAGATTTTTTAAAATGTTTACAATTTCAACGCATATTTTTTCAAATTTGTGAACAGCGACTAAATAATGAAAAAAACAAAAAAAAGACTTAAAACTTTAATTAGAAACAAACAAAGTACTACAAAAACATATATAAACTAAAAAATTAAATTATGGACACAAACTACAGTGCTCAAACTTTGGTGGTCAAATTTTCTAAGCAATCTTTGCCAGTATGCCATTATGTGGTCCATACATAGCCAGGATTTGCAAAATTTTGCAAAAAAAGCGAGTTTTCCGTCTTTTGCAATATTAACAATCTCCTCTCTTACCCACTACCAGGATGCTCAAAAAGTGACTCAGTTGGAAATAAAAGATCCAACCAGAAAAGCAACAGAAAAACAGCGGAAGAGGGCAAATGAGAAATAAAGCCAGCAAGGAACCAAACGAAAAATAGGCATCGAAGAGTCCAGTCCTCCGCGAATAGTTAAAAAAACAAATTGTATAAATAAGACCACAGAAGATATATCATCTGAAGATGAGGATGATGACGATGACCGTGATATGGACGTTAACGAAGATATTTTGCAAAATTTGTGGCGAATTCGGTAAAAACACAGAACTCTGGATCCAATGCAGCATTTGCGGCCAATTGGCACACAAATACTGTACCAGTTTCGAAGGCAAAATTTACAATTGCGATTTCTTCATTTAATTATTTTTTTAATAGGGGTAATAGTGTCAGTAGCCACTAGTTTGAAGTACTTACTAAGGTTTGAAGTTTTATTTACGTTAACAGTATAATTGTTAAAAGCTATGTAGCAGTATAAATAAACCAAAACGCTTAGGCGGCCACTATTCCCCCTTTCCACTACGTTGTAAATAATCTTCATTTTGAGATAGTAGTATTGCGTCGTCTGCATAGCAGAGAACACTGCCTGAGTGGCCTGAGGTAATTGCGGAAAGGATTGAGTAGCTCTAGGGTTACCACAGCCGGTTTCTAGCCCGGATAAAATGTGGAGGGTGATTGGCATGGTTAGCAACCTACCAATCGTAAAGACGAATACTTTGAATAGGTTTAATGACTTAATAAACAATAATGAAGACGGATGCTTAAGTGCGGTAGTATGCATCCACCTTCCCTTATTAAATTCTAAGTTTCACTTTTGAGTTTATAATTGGTGCCAAGAGATTTTCACACTAAAAGTGTTTTTCTGAAAGTTAAAGTATGCATTCCCTAAAACAAAATAAATGTGTAAGGACCTACCCTAGTCCGATGTTTCGGGCCTTCTGGAGAGCCGTTCGACTCCTTTCGTCGAGTATTGACCATAACACTTAACAACTGTGACAATTGATTTAGTTAGATATTTATTATTTACAAATTGATTTAAAAACAAAAATGGAGAACCCCAATACTGATAAAATATATTACATAAAATTAGTACAATATATAGTAAAAATTTATTACTCTAAACCAAGTTATTTCGCAATTTAGATATGAACAGATATTACACAAGTTAAAATGTTACATACCTAAAATGATTTAATGGATATTTACTATTTTATAAAATATATTTATTTTAAAATTTTAGCTATTTTTCTATTGTTTATATAGCGTCAAGTTTATTTAATAAACTCTTAGAAGGAATGCACAATCAATTGACAAGTGATACCTGCTAACACAATAATTGCTACTGTATCAGATAATTATTGAGAAATTAGTTCTGCAACATATTTTATAGCACATTCCACGAACATAAATCACTAATAACACGTTCAGCCCCGGTGTTTATAATTTGTTTTTTGTCCCCTCGTAATTTTTTCTTTTGTAAATAAGTGACAAAATTGATAAAATTTTGTTATCGCACAAAATTGTTAAGGCATCACATCGACGCCTCAATGTCCGAGCTCTATGAAGTCTTGTTAAGAAAAAGGTCGAAAAATTTTTCGCAGATATTTGAAGCTTTTAAAATATATGTGGGGTTACTAGATGACGAATAATTGAAAAAGTACTCGTATTTTTACCTTGCGTTTTTTTAACAATATGGTCACAATTTGATTTTTGGTCTATAAGTTTTTTCCCTTATATTTTACATAAACAATTTATCATTTTTTTATATCAAGAATATCTTTTTTAGAGATTTTTAGAGATATTTGCAAAAAAGCAGTTTTTTTGCACTAATTTATAAATTTTATGCTATTAATACATTTGAACATCGAGGAATTACCATCTTTTAAATTTGTGCCAAATTTCCCCCCGATCTGTCAAATAGTTTAAAAGTTATTTAATTTATTTATCCCTGAGGCTATTAAACTATTGAACTTGCTCTATTAATGATGCTAGACACATTTAGCAAATTTCATAGGATTCTTTAAAACATAAATTATCTCAGAAGTTAAATGCATATTGCGTTTTCATCGAAATTAATTACAAAATACACCTTTGAAAAAGGGGTGTTTTTACTTAAAAACAATTGTAATAACTTCTATATTTTTCAAGCTACAGACTTGTACGTACAACCATTGGGTAGCTGGTAAAAAAACTCACATTTAAAGAAACCTATGACCAATAGGAACGAAGTTAGGGACTATTTTGACGAAATTTTGAAGCGTGGCAGCTGCTACTCATCCCGCCTTTTTTAAGCATATTAAGATATATTATCGGTTTTCTATTATATAGATAATCTCTCTCCTATTCACATGAATACATATAAAATGTAGGGACACGAGGACGGTATACACTGTGATCTTTGGAGATATTTAGATCTAAAAACATAAATAAATTTGCTTACCGTCCTCGTACTGTACATATACCTATACACATATATAAATATACAAATCGTCAAAGTAGTAAATAATTATAATTAATATAAGGAATATAATAAAAAATTACCTGAAATGATAAAATATATAAGTATTATTACATCATTGATATAAAATGAAAAAAAAAATAAGTATATGTTGATTTTCCGGTTGAGAATTATGTCATCATTATTAATACTGCGACAGACTATTCCAGACAAATTTAAAAAAAAGTCAGTTTTTACGGTGAATTTCAAATGGACTCAATTTTTCCGAGGTTTTCCATATTTCCCGGCCAGTGAAAACTGTAGTTATTCACATTTCGACGAGGTACCCCAGATTAAAAAGAAAGAGGCTTCTAGCTGCAATTGACGTCGAGATAATGTAAGTTTTTCCTACGTGTTTCAATTTAAGTTATCCCCTCCACTTTCCTGTGTCGATCTTTCGAAAGTACCTTCTTTTCAAAGTGCTGTAAGTTTAGAAAAATTGGATGAATTTTATAACTATAAATTTTAATATAACGCTTAGATTTTCATTCAAAATTTGTGCAAATTTTACCTCTTAATGTTTATAAAGAATGGAGATATGATTTTAAAAAAATAGCCCGTAACTTCGTTCCTATTGGTCGTAGGTTTTCTTTTTTTTTTTGTTTGTGAATTTTTTACCACGTACAAGTCTGTAACTTGAAAAATAGAGAAGTTATTACAATTATTTATAAGTAAAAAACATACCCCTTTTTCAAACGTTTATTTTGTAAATAATTTATATGAAAACGATATATGCATTTAACTTCTGATATAGTTTAAGTCTTAAACAATCCTATGAGATTTGCTAAATGTGTCTAGTATCATTAATAGAGCAAGTTCAATGGTTTAAATATTTAGCCTCACAGGTAAATAATAGTACATTGTTTACCGGGTAGGAAAAGCTTAACATTCCTGGACGACTGTGAAGATTGCTAAGTCGAGGCGCAAGCCGAGACTTAGAAACACAGAGTCCAGGAATGTGGCTTTTCCTACGAGGTAAACATACTATTTTTCCGCAAATCGTTTAAAATTCGACAGATATTGATTGATTTAAAAAAAAACGCGATAATTTAATTCCCAAATAAATGGTGCTTTGAAATTCCTAATAAAATTACTTGGGTTACTATGGAAACGTATTGAGGTTGAATTGTCAAACTTGACGCTTATAAATTTAATTGCTGGTGTTCTCGAAAGTAAAATGATAAGTGATGATGAAATTTCCATTCCTGGGACTCCTCCAGAGCTGGTTGAGGCAGTGAATACTGCTTCATTAGAATTATTGCCAAAGAAATCAAGAGAAAAGTACGAAAATGCATACAGACGTTTTATGGATTATCGCATGAGTAAAAATACGAGTTCTTTCTCAGAAAATGTTGTAATGGCATACTTCCTAGACCTTTGTTTAAAGATGAAATCTTCAACATTATGGGCCAATTATTCAATGCTGAAGTCAACCCTTGCACTTAAACACAATGTAGATATATCTACATACTCAAAACTTCGTTCTTTATTGAAACGGCAAGCTCAAGGTTATAGGGCAAAGAAATCTAAGATTTTAACGAAGGAAGAAATTGAAAAATTTATCCAGGAAGCTCCAGATAAAGAAAATTTAATGATTAAGGTAATTTACAAGGTTTTAATTTCTATTTAGATTATAGCTTTATTTATTTTTTAGGTGGCTGTAATATCTGGTATTTCTGGGGCCTGTAGAATGGATGAGTTAGTCCGAATGACTGTACACGATATAGAAGACTTAGAATCTAAGCTTTTAATCAGCATACCTGATTCGAAAACCAACAAACCAAGATCATTTGTAATTAATCAGATCTACTTGAATGTTTATCGAAAGTATGTTTCGTTAAGACCAGAAAATATGAACAGTGACCGATTTTTCTTTAAATATCAAAGCGGAAAGGGTTGTAGACAAGTGGTAGGAATTCATCAATTTAGAAAAATGCCCAAAATAATTGCTACTTATTTGAACTTGGTAAATCCGACAGAATATACTGGTCACTGCTTTCGTCGGTCTTCTGCAACAATATTGGTTGACTCTGGTGCCGACATAACTAGTTTAAAGAGGCATGGCGGATAGAAGTCATCAAACGTTGCTGAAGGATATATCGAAGAATCGCTTAACAATAAGGTTGAGGTGGCAAATAAAATTTTCACAGTACAAAATATTCAACAAAATGACACTTCCACCCTGCATGTTGTCCAAAATGTTTCTCATAGTTCTAAGAGTGTTCCTCCAATGTTCAATAATTGTACTAACTGTCAAATTACTGTAAATGTAACAAATTGATCTTAAAAATGTATTCAGCAATGACTTGATGTTTTCAAAATATAAATTAATTCCTTATAAGCAATGTGTTTTCTATCATTTATGTAGAATACTAACAACTGTACGGAAATATCATTTCCTTACAGTAAGGAAATGACATTTCTTCAAGAAATTTTGACAGGAATGTCAAAATTTCCAGGCGATTTGCGGAAAATTAAATAACTTTAAAACTATTTGACCGATCGAGGGAAATTTCGCATAAATTTAAAAGACGGTAATTCCTCGATGTTCAAATGTATTAATAACATTTTATTTTGTTAATAAAAAATTAATAAAATACCGCAAAAAAACTGCTTTTTTTGAAATATTTTCGTAACCTATTTATCAATTTTAATTGAAAAAAACGGGAAAATTAAGATATTCTTGATATAAAAAAAATGATATAATTATTGTTTGTTTAAAATATAAGAGAAAAAACTTATGACAAAAAATCAAGTTGTGACCATAAATTATTCTTTAAAAAAAGCAAGGTAAAAATATGAGTACTTTTTCATCTATTCGTCATCTAGTAACCCCCACCTATGTCTTAAAAGCTTCAGATATCTGCGAAACATTTTTCGACCTTTTTTTAACCAGACTGGGCTAAATACCGAACAGTTTTTTTGAATATAACGATGCATATGATTATATACGATTTATACTACAAATGGTTCGTGGTAAAAAAGGTTGTCCAACTACATAAAAGTAGCGAAGAAGAACGAAGGAAGTCTTAGGGAAATTAATTAAAGATGCAAAATCCTGACCATTAAATTCAACTAACAAAGTTGAAATACACTTTAAAATGCATTGAAAATATACAATTAAGTCCTTCGATGAAATTTTAGAAGAAATAAATCTCAAGAGCATCTTATACTGTTCTAATATTATTATTCTATCTCGTTCAAGACATGTGTGCTTCTTCCGATTGGTGAATTGTCTTGTGTTACTCAGCTGGGATTGAGTTCAGTAAAATAAGCTGACTTTAAGAAAAATGGTCACCTCTTCACTCTACAGTTTAAGAGAACATTCTGCATGTAACCAGACCTAATTTTATATGTGCATTTTGATTCAAACAGCAATTATGCTATGTTACACCTTTGCAAAAAAACACTTTCTTTAAGTGCCCTCCTAATTATTTTTTTAAACTTATTTGAGTGAGTCGAAATATGAAAACGTAGATAT